GATCCAAACGGGGCCTTAGTGTTTATGCTTTTGAATTCTAGATTCTCGAACTTTGTTTCTTCGGATTTTCAGAATTCCTCCTAGGATTAGGATCTCACCTGTATGGATGTGGTAGGAATTTTTTATTACATGCTAATAATAATAATAATAATAATAATAATAATGCTTATTATATATATAATATATATATATGTAGCCATCCAAATGGAGCCGTATATGAGAGGAAAATGGTTACAGACTTGATTACAGTCGTCGCGCGTGACATACATAAGCAGGACACTAGCCGCGTTTGTGCGTGCGTCACTAGAGAGAAACACTCTACGTTTCGTTCCTTTCCTGTGAAGGAAACAGTCGACTACGTATGCTGACATCCTAGAAATTAAATGACGACAAACCATCCTGCACATTTTTCACTTGTACATAATAAATAAATGCATTATATTTGCATGATCTCATCAGAGATACATGAGCGCGATTTTTCAAAAAAAAAAAAAGTGAAAAAAAGGATGCATGTGCGCGCACCTGGACTGAGTCCACCCATGTTGTCCAGATCGCACGGCCGGCGGCGCACAAGAACGCAGCTGATAGCTAGCTAGGAGCCTAGGAGGAGGAAGAATATGGCAACGAGGTACGTAGTATGGGAGCTGGGAGACGACAATCTATGTCCATGCCTGCCTATATATATATATATATATATGTCGTAAATATGTATTGACATTATCGTAAATTAGTATATAAAATTATCATCAACCCATGGAGTCACGGATCCATCAAAGTATACAAATATATTCCATATGCAACCGTATTAGCCTAATTAATCTGTGTATAAATTATAATTATTAGAAGGAATCCAATTCTAAGGATCCAAACGGGGCCTTAGTGTTTATGCTTTTGAATTCTGGATTCTCAAACTTTGTTTCTTTGGATTTTCAGAATTCCTCCTAGGATTAGGATCTCACCTGTATGGATGTGGTAGGAAATTTTTATTACATGCTTATATTAATAATAATAATAATAATAATAATAATAATAATAATAATAATAATAATAATAATAATAATAATAATAATAATAATAATAATAATAATTATTATATATATAATACTCCCCTCTGTTCCTTAATATAAACCATATAGTTTTTAGCACCAATATTAACGCACGGCTTGGGGAAGGATGTGAGACCGAGGAAAAAAGGAAAATCAGGCCATCTTCTCTCTCCCAATCACATTGCTTCCTTAATCTAAGAGATTAGTTGGGGCATGTGCTATGTACTGTGAAAATGTTTCCAAAATCATCGGCGTGGGAGCTGATACGTACCTATATTTTAGAATTTTCTTTAGAAATCTATATGGCTTATATTAAGGAACGGAGGGAGTATATATGTAGCCATCCAAATGGAGCCGTACGATTGAACACAACAGCACCGACGTGCTTTGGTGGCCGGGCCGAGCCCAACACGAAGAATCCTGGGAGCGCTTGGGTACGTAGTGCACACGTACGGATTATTGATTTTCCGCTTCTACTACCGTCCACGAATGGTTCCTAACGCTGTATATGAGAGGAAAATGGTTATTACAGTCGTCACGCGTGACATACATAAGCAGGACACTAGCCGCGTTTGTGCGTGTGCGTCACTAGAGAGGAACACGTCTCTGCACGCACGGTGGAACCGTGGAAGAAAGTTTCTCTCTACATGTACTGTAAGTCTGTAATAGGCGACCGTACTGTACAAACCAAGCGTTTAACAAGTGACTGACATTTTAGAGGAGTGCATCTCTGAGCGAGGTTAACCTCAATAGACGATGACTGTACTGTGCACCCTTGCAAAAAGCTATGTGTGCTAGTAGATGAAATCGAACTAGGTGCAGCAGATGGGCGTGTTACCGTTGACTGGTACTCCGGAATAACTATGAACTATATATTTACCGTTCACTGCTAAAATATTATTGTTAGCCATTGAAGAGACGGAAGGTGATAAATTTGCCAACATAAAACTAACTAAACCTATAAAATCTACTTATCAAAACATATGCAAAAAACATATCGTTGAGAGTCAGGAGACTACTCCCACCTAGTCGGGTAAGCCTAGCTTAGTACATTGTATACTTAGTGTTTTATTCCTCATGTTGCAGGTAGACGCTGGATGTGGATACCTCTTGGTGGACTCAGTGAGGCTTCGTTTCATTGCTCCGACGCAATATTTTGAATCTTTCAATTCTAAATTTTGTTGAATTTAAGAAAAGTTTTAGGCTTCTGCTACTTTTTTATATAAATGTTTTATCTTATGCTATATTTATTAAATCTTGTTTTGTAATAACTCTTGTAATGTATGAAGTGAATTAAGAATGTTGTAAACTTTATTTACGTGTTTCTGAATTTTGGATGAAAGGGTGGATTGTTTCTAGTTCTCTCATTGATTGTGCTTAATAGATTACTGGATTTGACTTGGTTTCTTGGATACTTAGTATCAAATGGATGACTGGTGCACTTGAAAGAAAGTTAAATTGGACAGTTTTGCCCCAAAACAATAGTGCACGCAAGCACCGAGTGACTAAGTGGTATGCAAAACTCACCAAACACTAAGCTAAGCCTAGATCAAAGCGCCAATTGAGTGGTCTAATTAACTAGTATAAGCACTTTGCAAAGCACCATGTTATTCACCAAATATTTTTAAGTACTTTTGATGGCTAGAACACTTAGGGCATGTGTGGAATGTAGGAATGCAAAACACAGGAATTGAACAGCACATAGGAAAGAGTTAGGAGTGTAGTGTTAAAACAGAGGAATGAACAACTCATAAATTTTTGAAACATTAGTGTTTGGAACACAGGAATGAAAGGCACACTCAGACTCGATGTTAACGTACATGATTAGACTTTTGTACAAGGTTTCAACCAGCTTGCAGGCCAACAGACACACGCTATTGTACTTCATTGTCTTGGACTTTGTGAAGGAAAGAAAAACAAGAGATAGAACTGGATGTTTGTTTTCCTCCAAAACGTACAAGCACATGAAACTTTCCTTTGGAAAGGAAGTTACTAAATCCTGTATTCCAAACGATGCTACAGGAGAGAAAAAAATTGATTCCCTTCCATTGAAATTCCACCAGTAGAGATTGCCCCTTTACAAAAGAAGTTTGGACATATTTGAATCAGTGGTTGCAACTATCGGCAGTTGACTCAGTGGTAGCCACGGGATCGTTACATGGTTTCTCGCACAAATGCCGTGCAAAGTTTGACAGAAGTCAGAGGAAAATGATAGATGGAATAATAATCTATTTTTGGTGGAACGTTTGGAAGAAACAAATAGACGAATTTTCCAACAAAAACCCTCTACAACCAAGACAATTAAGTAGCTCTTCTATGCAAAAATGGCATACAACAATATCAACTCGCCAAAAGACCTTCAATCGGTGAAGTACATGGAGTCGGTAGATCTAGAGTGGAGTTTATTTTATTCTTGTAATCCAGTAGCAGTTGTGTTTTTCCTCTTCCGGTCTGCGAGCCGTAGTAGCTGGAGCTCTTGTATTTCTGGAGTTTTTCTTTTCTCTCGTCTAATAAAAATGCGGCAAAGCGCTCTTGCTTCGTTGCTAAGAAAAATACTTTTCCCTGTTACTACTGTGCATTGCAGAGACGTGTTAGAGTGCGAAACAAACGACGAGCGTTCGAGCCGGTTTCCATCACAGGAAAGGAACGTGTTTCATTAGCTCATTGCTCTCAAATTTCCACACGGTAGAGTGAGACAGATGTCTTTTTTATGATTGCGATGAGTGAGAGAGACCTGCAACTTGAGACACGCGTAAACTAGTTCGCAGGACGCCCTGGTATCTATGAACACTATAAATAAAAAAAGGTCTAAATAATGCATTGCTCGACAAGGTACTTCGTTCCATTCCATGATCCTTTCCTCTTTATCAAACTTACCCTTAACTTGATTCCCGATCCACCGTCATGTCCAACTTTGGTTCTGGAACTGGAAGCCAACAAGCCGATGAGTTCAATAAACAAACCTCAAAAATCTTCAACTCCTTCATAGCCTATGGCGTTGGTGCGTTCTAAAAATCTCAGTAACTGTTTTTCCGGTTCTTAATTTTCATTCATCTCAGGCCGAGACAGCACTAACTAATTTACATAATGGATGCAGTTATTTTGATAGTCAGTCTCGTAGCAACCGTGTTGGTGGTGTACTTCATCTACAGATGCTTCAGGAAGAATGGCTTCCCGTCAATCGACGTGAAGACGACCACCACCGGCGAGGCGGCGACGGAGCAGAGGCCAGCGTTGCCGGACTCCATGATACGCAACACCACCATCGACAACTTTCTCAACGAGATCGCCCGCGAGAAGCCCATCCGATTCACGGCGCAGCAGCTCGACGGGTACACACAGAACAAGTCCGCCGAGCTCGGCGCCGGTGGTTTCGGCGCCGTCTACAAGGGCATGCTCCCCAACGGACTCGACATCGCCGTCAAGGTGCTGCACGACCACATGGACGACGAGGTCACGGAGCAGCAGTTCATGGCCGAGGTGGGCACGCTGTGGAGGACCAACCACGCCAACCTCATCAGGTTGATTGGCTACTGCTTCGACGCCGACGAGCGCGCGCTGGTGTACGAGTTCATGGCCAACCTCTCGCTCGACAAGTACCTTTTCGACCGGCGGCACAGGGTTGTAGGTCCCGCCGCGCTGCTCGCCATCGCCGGTGGCGTCGGGAGAGGCCTCCGGTACCTCCACGAGGAGTGCCAGAAGAAGATCATCCACTACGACGTCAAGGCCAGCAACGTGCTCCTCGACGGCAACCTGACTCCCAAGGTCACTGACTTTGGGATCGCGCAGCTGCTCAGCCGCGCGCACGCGCAAGCCTCCGTGCACGCCATGCGTGGCACCTTCGGCTACATGGCGCCCGAGGTGATCAGTGTCGGGAAGGCGCCGGTCACCGAGCTGTGCGACGTGTACAGCTTCGGCATGCTCCTGTTCGAGCTCATCGGCCGGAGGAAGAACATGGACAACAACGCGCCGGAGAGCCACAAGTTTCTGCCGTTGCTGGCATGGACCATGTACGACCGTGGTGAGCTCTTGGATCTCATCAAGGAGTGTCATTATCCTGTGGCTGCGGCGGATGAGGAGCAGTGGAAGGAGACGGCGGAGAGGATGTGCAAGGTGGCATTCCTGTGCGTGCAGGAGAAGGCGGAGGCGAGGCCGACGATGAGCATGGCGGTGAATATGTTGGAAGGGCATTTGGAAATTCCTATTCCGGTGTATCCCTTCGGTTGGATGTACCCTCAATAGGAGTCAACAGCGTCAGGTTCCAAAAGGGTGTTCATCAGGATAGACACATGATCGACCTTTTTTTTGTTAAAGTTAAGAAAAGTTTTAGGCTTCTGCTACTTTTTTATATAAATGTTTTACCTTATGCTGTGTTTATTAAAACTTGTCTTGTAATGACTCTTTTGATGTATGAAATGAATTAAGAATGTTGTAAAATTTATTTACATGTTTATGGATTTTGGATGAAAAATGTGGATTATTTTGAGTTCTCTTTTTGGATGTGCTCGACAGACAACTCGATTTGATTTGGTCTCTTGGATACTTAGTGTTAAATGGCTAAAGTGCACTTGAAAGAAAGTTAAATTGGACAGTTCTGCTGCCGCGAGTGACTAAGAGGTATACAAACCTCACCAAACACTAAGCTAAGTAGATAAAGCATCAATTGAGTGATCTAACTAGTATAAACACTTTGCAAAGCATCACGTTAATCACTAAATATTTTTAATTAAGTACTTTTGATGGCTAGAACACTTAGGATCTATTTGGAACATAGGAATGCAAAACAGAGGAATGAAGTGACCAGAACATTGAGAAGAGATAGGAATGTAGTGTTAAAACAGAGGAACGAAAAACAACATTTTTGAAATATTAGCATTTGGAACACAGGAATGAAAGACACGCTCAAATCTGATATTAACGTATATGATAAGACTTTTGTACAAGGTTTCAGCCAACTTGCATGACAACAGACAAACGCTATTGTGCATCATAGTATTGTACTGCGTGAGGGAAAGAAAAACAAGAGCTAGAACCAGATGTTTGTTTTCCTCCAAAACTTACAAGCACATGAAACTTAGTCTCAAAAAACATGAAACTTTCCTTTGGAAAGGAAGTAACTAATCTTCTATTCCAAATGATGCTACAGGAGCAAAAAAAGAACAGTGATTCCTTTAGAACTCCTTTGAAATTTCTATCAACCAAACAACCCTTAGATCAAGTTTCAACTCTTTTACAACGTCTGGCGCCGAGGTTGGTGCCACATAGGCGTCACGCGGACCGCCACACCACCTAGGCTGACACGGTGGGCGCCAAAAGTTGTGGCGACGAGCAGTGTGATCCAGGCAGCAACAAAGGTCACGACGTCCATCCTAGGAATCTTATCAATAGAAGAGTAAAGTACACTGGCGGTCCATAAACTTGTGGTGCTGTGTTATTCCGGTCCCTAAACTCTCAAAATGATCGTTTAGGTCCCTGAACTCATGATTGGGTGTCAAAATAGTCCAAACAGGTCTAGACTGTGGCTAAATGGATCGCTGACATATGGGGCCCACATGTCAGCTCCATCTTCCACCCCTCTCATCTTCATGTCAGGGCGCCGGACGGGATGGGGACGCCGCGGCCTAGCCAGTGCGGATGGGGGCGGGGGCACTGTGGCGGCACGAGCTCCCCCCGGCCATGGTTCCCGGCCCCTGGCCGCGCCATGCCCTGTTGCGCGCCGCCCCGCATGGCTCCCTCTGCGTGCCACAGCCCCCTTTCGTGCAGACCACGCTGGCCTTGCGAGCCTCTGTCGAGCGCGTGCGCCCCTGATTTGCGCCACCATGCGCTGGTCGCCCACGCCACCTCGCGCACCGGCAGGCCGCCACCGCGCGTCGCGTGTGCCTTCCCACGGCTCCCCTGGTTCCAATATGCATGCTTCTCTTCCTCGTTCTTGCCAGCGAATAGGAGAATCATTGCATTTGGTCAGCATCGAATACTATAGTACTCCAGCGGCCAACGGACGGCTAGCAGAGCTGGAGCTGCAGCCTGCAGTCCGCCGCGGGGAGCATCTGCGGCCGCTGCGCGCACTGACAGGGCCAGCGCCAGCTGCATCGTTACGAGCACGAGCGACGCGGGCACCTGCGAGCGCGGCCAAGGCAGCGCTACCGACGACGGCAGCAACGCGGGCCCGTAGCCCAGCACAGTAGGCGCTGCCGCCATCGCACGCTGCACCACCGATCGGACCGGCACGAGCTCCTGCGACAGTTATGATCCGAGGTGAGAGAGAGGAGGAAGATGGAACTGACAGGTGCCCCCCACATATGAGTGTGGGTCTAGACCCGTTTGGACTATTTTGACACCCAAGAGTTTAGGGATCTAAATAATCATTTTAAGAGTTGAGGGACCAGGATGACACAGCGATACAAGTTTGAGGACCGCAGTGTACTTTACTCTTTTTAGAATTAGTTTGCCCATGGATCTAAATATAAAATTCTCCTAAGAAAACGGCCCAATTGCAAAAAACGCGATATTTACTGTACATACAGTGACCTGTTACATGGCGAAATTAGAGCCAAACTTTCTTCCATGGTTCCACTGCTTATCACTACCAGAAACAGTGGCTTTGCCGTATGCCACAAGGCACTCGGTAAAGCCCAAAAAACACTCGGCAAAGGCTTTGCCGTGTGTAACACTCGACAAACAGCACACAACATCTACATCACACAGCTCACTGTAAGCACGCTCTACTTTGATGTATGGAAACCATTTACTTTTCAGATTCTCCTTTTATGTATGAACATTGTTTCTAGGACGACTATATGTCAGGTGTTAGGAGGGTTGCACGTCCAAATGAAGTGGATGGAGAGCATGAGCACATGGAAGGGGAAGGGGATGTGTAAGAAGAAAGCCAGCAAGTGCATGGGCAAGAATTGAATGGCAAGGTCTTGTTTGACCTCTCTGGTGGCACACCCCATGGAGGATTTGCCATTGCAAATGGTGCTGTTAGGGCAGCTGATATCAGGGCAGCGGCGAAGGAAAACAATATCCGTCCATCAAATTCAGTTTCTATGCAAAGCATGGCACGAGAAGTTGCACACCTACGACGTGAAAATACAAGGCTGCAACATGAAAAGGACAGTGCAGGCAAAGTGGCAATAGGCTTGATAGTGGTACGTGCAAATATCTGAACCTATGATTTGTTGTTTCGAACAACATTTGTTCACATTAACAAGAGGTACATGTTCGTGTGCAGCGACTTTATCGGCGTCTTGGCGAGGAAGTTCTAGAGGAAGCGCTAAGCATTCTATCAGCAACACAACCAATTGTGAGTATATAAACAATATTCTATTAGCTGTAAACCATAGGTGGAAAATAATAAAAGTGAATGGAATTTTACTCTCCATTGTATGGCATACAATTTAGGCATTTGCTCCTATGTAAGATTGTTTCAGTTAGCCTAACTAGAGCTTTATGGTATTCAGCATGGCAGTACCCAGTGCACCAGTGAGGAAGTGGCCTCATGTTGATTCTTTTGTAGCTATGGACTTTAGTTGCACAGAATCATGTACACTGAGATTCCAATGTTCACTTCTCGTGATAAGGTAGACATTCACACTATTTTGGTTTTGAAGAACTAGGAAGAATTAGTATGTTATGCAAATAGACCAACACGGTTTTCTGTTAGCTGAACAGATTCTGGACTAGTGATATTAAAATAATTAGTAAGCTTTAACATGTCTACCTTGGTCAGTAACACATTGTTAGCTAAACATCTTTTGTTTTTAGTTAAAACATTTGTTTTCAGCATGTTTTCTAAAATCCATACAAGAGGTAGGAGACTATTTGTTTTCATTGGAGCTCTACCTGCACTTTCTCTTCTCCTCTCTAGAAGCTACAATTTTGCTAATTTCCCTTATACCCAATCTGACTTGTGCTATAATGCACCTCCCCCTGTAAAGTAGGCTTCCTCTTTTCAAATCCAAATGGCTTCAGATTCAAACCAACCAGCAGCTGCTCACCAAGAAGCCGCCCTTCCTTTCTTCTTCTCCCCTTCAATCAACCCAAGTATTGCTGGTCTACTCTCTCCACCCAAACCAAATCAAGGGGCAAATTTCCCAAAAGATTACCTTCCTGCAGCAATCACGACTCAATCTGAGCACCGCTGCTGTACCCAATCTGCTCCTCTGCTGCTGCTGCTGCTTCTTCTTCTTCTTCTTCTTCTTCTTCTTCTTCTTCTTCTTCTTCTTCTTCTGCTGCTGCTGCTGCTTCTTCTTCTTCTTCTTCTTCTTCTTCTTCTTCTTCTTCTTCTTCATACACATAGCCCAACACTATTGCTAGAATTAATAATCTTGAACTTATTCACATGCAGCCGGTGACTAATAATCTTGAACTTATTCACATGCAGCCGGTAACTAATAATCTTGAACTTATTCACATGCAGCCGGTGACTAGATCATCTCATGTGGGTTCCGAATCGACTAACGACGATGTTGCAGCAAATGAGGGACTCCATGGTGGAAGTAGAGTTGCATTGGAAACCAGGAACTATTATAATGAAGCCACATGTGCAGGTGCTGGTGCTGGTGCTGGTCTCCCTGAAGACTGAATGGTTGTGTAGCATGTTGCTTGTTTCATCTTTTGAAGTCTTTGCCTTTGCATACACTTAGGTTGGTACTAACCTTCAGCTAGTTCTTAGTGGTGTGGATGTTGAGCTAGTACTAACCTTTAACTAGTACTCTTTTGAAGTGTTTGCCTCTGCATACACTTAGGTTGGTACTAACCTTCAGCTAGTACATAGTGGTGTGGTTGTTGAGCTAGTACTAACCTTTAGCTAGTATTGGTGGTGTGGAAGAGACAGCTATGTTGATGCCAAATGTTTGGAGAAGTTATTTTGGGTAGATGGGTGCTAAATATTTGGACATCTTACGTATTTACCAATGTTGATGCAAACGAGACATCTATGTATGTAATGGATTTATGCTAGACTAATATATCTATATACATGATGGTGCATTGTATTTATGTTGGTATATCTCCATGATTCTGTGTATATTATATTAAATATATTTGTTTTAAATTATATGGAAAAGGCTATTATGTCATTTTTCTGTGGGTGGTATTTTTCCTGGTGGTTTAACACCGACAGGAAAAAAATTCTCTCGATGGTCTCCTCGTCGTCGTGGGGAAAATATCACCGATAGGAAAAATATATTTCACGATGGCTAGAAGTCGACGGAGGAAAACAAACACCGATTGTGGAAAAT